CCCCCACCTGGGCAACTTGGCGAGACCTCATCTCTACAATAAATCAAAAAATTAGCCAGGCGTGGTAGCGCACACCTGCAGTTCCAGCTACTTGGAAAGCTGAGGTGGAAGGATCGCTTGAGCCCAGCAGGTCGAGGCTGCGGTGCCCAGGAGTGGCCACTGCACTCCAGTCTGGGTGACAGAGTGAGACTCCAACTCAAAAAATAAAAAAATAAAAAAAATAATGTTGGCCTGACACGCTGTGTTAGGGTTAGATGGGATAATGTGGGACACAGTCAGTGCTCTGTTTGCCTCTGATCCTCCCTGGCCTAAGGGCCACAGGAACTCAGAACCCCAACTCCTCCTCCAGGCTGAGCTGCACACAAAGTAGTGAGGGAGAGTCACCAGGAGCACTGCATGGGGAAGGATGGGGCTGGCCTTGGCTGTGCAGTAACCTTGGTGTATCCTGTGGAGAAAGGCTCTAACATACAAGTCTTCTCAGAGGAGGGCAGTCAGCTAGAATGACCCAGGAACACAACAGTCAAAGCTCCAGGGGACCTGGAGTAATGTGTTATAGTCCTGACTTTCCCCTCACCCCACAATGCACTGATTCCCACAGCATCTACCACATGTGCCCAAAGGAAAGAGGAGGTGCTGTTTTCTCTGTAATGTTCTACCCGGGTGAGGACATTGACCTCCCCTGGGGTACTCTGGCTCAGATAAATCAGCCTTTATTTCTTTTCTTTTCTTTTTTTTTTAAGTCAGAATCTCACTCTGTTGCCCAGGCTGGAGTGCAGTGGCACGCTCACAGCCACTGCAGCCTCGACCTGCTGGGCTCAAGTAATCCTTCTGCCTCAGCTTTTCAAGTAGCTGGAACCACAGGCATGTGCCACCATGCCCAGCTAATTTTTTTTTTTTAGAGATCTCACTCTGTTACCCAGGATGGAGGGCAGTAGAATGCTCACAGCCACCACAGCCTTGATCTGCTGGACTCAGAGTTTCCTTCTGCCTCAGTCTTCCAAGTAGTTAGATTTGCAGGTGCATGCCACCACATCCAGCTAATTTTTTGATTTATTGTAGAGACAAGGTCTTGCCAAGTTGCCCAGGCTAGTCTCGAACCTGTGGGCTCAGGCAATCCTCTCACCTCAGCCTCCCAAGTGCTGGGATTCGAGTCACTACTTATAGTATCCCTACTTAGGGAGGGAGGAATTTAGATTGTTGTTTTTTGTTTTTGATATTGATATGATAGGGTTTAAGCCTGACATTTAATTAATTTATTTATTTTTGTTTTATGGCATTTAGATTGTTGAGACAGACAGACCCCCCCCCCCGACACACACACCACACCACCCTTCCCTAACACAAAACCTTATCTGTAAGGGAAACTAGAGTGTCTGGGGAACCTAGAACCTACTACCCTTCCTTCTTGCTGGTCTATCTTGAGAAAAGAAAATACCTTTTATCTGAGAAATGCTAGTCCTTTTAAATATCAGGCTCCAAGAGACATTGAAATAGAGCAGGGACCCCCCTTAGGGACCTGCTGGACCCCCCCATGCATGGAGATAAAGGAAAAAATTTTGAGTTCCATCAGGGGAGATTCCCAGCACCTAGCTAGCCCTAAAGCCAGCAATTAGGGAAGTAAATTAATAACATGCTAAGCAAGAAAGTAATAACTTAAATACTGAACCACATAGCAGGACTTCATTTCTACAGAGAAAAAAAGTTATCTGGGCAGGGTGGTGTGTGCCTGTAGTCCTGGCTACTCTGGAGGCTGAGGTGGGAGAATTGCTTGAGCATGGTAGGTCGAGGCTTCAGTGAGCCATGATTGCACCACTGTGCTTCTGCCCGGGGGACAAAGCAAAAGCTCTTGTCTCAACATAAATAAATAAGTTAAAGGATAGACATCCAAGTAAGCCAGAGTTACAAGCTGTTTGGTTCCCTCTGGAAACTAAAGATAACGTCTTAATATATGTCTTTGAGTTGTTTTTCCGGAAACCTGGTCCCCCACCGAATGAGAAATGCTGACTCTGTCAAGTAGACCTCATATAAAGGGGAATTGAGGACTGAATTCTGACCAGAGTTCTTTATTCTAAATTTCTCGTTGAGGGAGCTTGGGCATGGTGGCTCACGCTTGTAATTCCAGCACTTTGAGAGGCAGAGAGAATTGCCTGAACCCAGAGGTTCGAGACCAGCTTGAGCAACTTGGCAAGACCTCGTCTCTACAATAAATCAAAAGATTTCCAGCCCTGTCAACTTGGCGAGATCTTGTCTCTACAATAACTAAAAAATTAGCCGGGCATGGTGCAAGCACCCATAGTTCCAGCTACTTGGAAGCCTGAGGTGGAAGGATTGCCGGAGCCCAGCAGGTCGACACTGTGGTGGCCGTGAGTGTGCCACTGCACTCCAACCTGGGCGATTGAGTGAGACTCCAACTAAAAAAAAATAATTAGCTGGATGTGGTAGCACATGCCTGTAGTTCCAGCTATTTGGAAGACTGAGGCAGAAGGATTGCCTGAGCCCAGCAGGTGGAGGCTGTGGTGGCCATGAGCATGCCAACTGCACTCCAGCCTGGGTGACAGGGTGAGACACCAACTCAAAATGTATCAAAATTTCTCCCTATTGAGTCTGAAGAGAGTCATGCCCACAGGCCAAACCTAACATGCCTTTCTGGTGACCTATGTTGTTTCATGGATAAAAAAATCTGACCTTTCTTCTCTGAGGTGATTCGAATGCACGAGCCTGGGGGATCCAAATCACCATGATCAAATTACTGAAGAGTCATCTCTACCATCAATTGATAAAAATTAATCATGTATGGTGGCACATGTCTGTGGTTCCAGTTACTTGGAATGCTGCAATGAAAGAATCACCTGAGCCCAGCGGGTTGAGGCTGCCGTGAGCATGAGTGTGTGACCATGAGTGGACTCCAGCTCAAAGAAAATGGTTGGAATTGTCCTGATCATAATTAATTTTTTCTTTCTGATGGTGGCTCTGTAGACCTGCCTAGGAGCTACTATTCT